TACAAAGTACTTGTTTGCTTTCAAAAGGAGCAAACGGTAGCGGCTCATTGACTGAAGTCGTTGCATTCACAATACATAATTATTCTACAATGGTGTCGCATTCGTCAAACCGGAACGGACGATGCAAATGTCTCGAAAGAAACCGGAATTGAATTGAATTTAGATCAGACTTCAACAGTAGCGTCAAAAAATCAACTTCTATCGATTGAATTACCTGGATGGCATCCGCAATTTTTTATCGCCACATCTTCGTCTCCTGATATCCGCAGGGTTTCATTTCCGTTGTATTTCACTATGGCCCAAGGCGAAGATGCTTCTTCTGTCGTTACAACAGTTTCAGATGCTGGTAAGTATTAAATCTGGTTTAATCTCAACTTCTTTCTGTGTGAAACTTTAATGAATTATAAATCTCGCAAGTCATAACAAGATGTGAACGCTGAATGCGAGTTGAATGAAATACTGATCGATTTCAAAATTAAAATAAAATACAATCTTATTATATCTCCAAACTGAACAAAACTGTCCGCTTTCCTTCGACAACCACTGTTGATTTCTGAAGTTCTTGGCGCAAACATTTGCTTTGAATAAAAATTGTCTCGTCGGGAAAGTGCCAAAATGTTTATTTTTATTTTTCATGCATGGACACGATGCACACGAAACCCTCAGATGATTTATTCAAGGCGCAGTAAATGTATCGTTGAGCATTTTCCTTGTTAGAAAATTGGGATTTATAATCTGCAAATAATATCCAGATGATTTCATTGCTTTCCTCGATTATACAGGAATATAGAGTAACTAAGAGATTTTCCCTTGTCTTTCGTCGCCAGAATCGTTACCAAGTAAAAAGCCAGCTAGTGCACTCAATAATTATTTATTCATCTGAACAATCTCTCATCTCTGACGGAATATCTTCGATCTGGTCGCTTTCGCGACAGAGAATTAAATCTTTATTTTCAATTATGCTTATGTTTCACTGTTTTTATCGTTTTGTGGACTGTTTTTGATCGAAAAGCGTTCGCCTTTCGCCCTTACCTTTTTAAAACAGTTCAGCGCACTTAATGGCCAGGCCGTGTCGATAAATTAAATATTCTCGAATAATTTCTCTTCGAAATTCTTGTTCAAACAGCCGCTAATCCAGGCTTATTAACTCCCGTTCAAATCTGTGAAAAAATGAGTCGCTCTGAAATATTTTATAATATTTGAAGACACTGTGTTTTGACATGTGGAATTTGTACTGAATGGTAAGAAGGAAGTTAGAACCGTCGATTCCTAATATGTTATAATAATTTGTTTCATGATTTCCCACTTTTAAGACGGAGCGTTTTAAAACATGGAGTTTTTTGGCCTAAGGGGTGACTTTATACAAAATTTGAAATCATGAAAATAAAATTTATGGCAATATATTGTGACTTTTGTACGTTGCATTAATATTGATTTCAGAGAGAGAAAACATTATCAGTGACTGTAATTTATACATGAATATTTTAAGAGCTCATGTAGAGAAGAGGCACTTTTTTCCTTGACTTCAAATCGGAGGTGATTATTTGCCTAATCTTTGCAAAATCACACAGAACAGCATAAAAAATTACACATCATGAATTATATATTAAAAAAAGTCTCAAAAATACGTCAGATCAAAGAAATTTAGACAACTAGACACTACATTGAATATTGGGGGGGGGGGGTGGGGGGAGAGGGGTACTCCCTATATAGGTATGTGTGGCCCCAAAAGGTAGGGTTTTTCAGCCATTTTGGTCATAAATGGGGTATCGATTTTGGCCAGTTTGGTTATAGATTGGGTATGGTTTTAGCAGTTTAGTCTTGAATTGGGTTTGTTTCTTAGAAGAAGCTACTTTTTCATCCTTAACAATAAGACTGTCAACTAAAGCCCTTCATAACTTATGTTTGGAGCAACTGTGTCAGCCGCAACGGTCATAAATAGGCTATCAAATTTTTGGTCAGGTCTTAAATAGGGTAGCAAAAAATGCAGATTTTGGTCATAAATAGGGTAAGGGTTTTGAACAGTGGGCTGTGTACCCCCACCCAACTTTTCTGCAACCGAAGCACCGAAGTACTCCCCTCCAGGTGAACATTATAGACTACCCTCTTTGTATTACCAAGGCTACCAAAATATTGTTCCATATCATTTGCTTGCCAAGCCAGGGACAGATTGAATCAGATATAATTAGCTTTAGATGAAAAATGACCCTTTTAAGTCCACAATGAGGTAACATAACTTGAAAATCTCTACCAGTCGTGAAAATATGATTCCCACAAGGCAGCATTCATGTTTCTTACTTCCTACAATGCACCCCACTTTCTGATAGGGGTTGAAAAGCAATCACTGAAAGTGACTGGACAGCTCCTACATAACAATTCTGTTTAATCAGATGGCAGATTGCTTTTCAGAGTGGTAGATTGTTTATTTACTGTTGGATTAAATTTAGAAAATTAATTTTGTGGCCATTGCATTTCTCACATATTCAAGAGATTAGTCTGTTTGCTGAAATTTTTCATAAAAGTGCCCGACAGGGTGTGTACATATAAACTCAGCTAGTCTCCTGCTATGAGCTAATTTGTTTTTGGTAGTAAATTATTTAGTTCCAGTGTTAAATAACCAATATTATTATTTTGGCCTTGGCTGGCTAGGGTATTATTAAACAAAGACTACACAGATGCTGGAATTTCAATTTTTGATTATTTTATAACAAAAAATTCAAAAGCATCTGAGCTTTATTCAAATGTTTGCCAATGCTCTTGGTATGGTATACAGACAACTCTTGCTGTATACATTTATTTTGTTTTTTAGTGGACACACTTAGGACTGTTACTTGCTGTTGGAAACAGCGAGAGTCTACAAATTATACAGAGCGTGATGAAAATGACCCTACATATAGTTTTGGTTGTAAAGTATCACATATAATGTATACTGCTATATTCTTTTAAGATTTCCAGTCTCTTCTAGTTTGTATTACACATTTACTCCACTTACTGTGATACATAATCATACAATAGAGTTCAAAACACTGTAAAAGTAGCAAACATTTTAAGACTGCAGAATAACAATTATTTTGGTTCAATTCATCCAAGTTGCCCATTATAACGAGGGGAAAAAATAAAAAAAGTATTAGTTTGAGACCACATGAAGTGTCTATGTGCAGTTCCATTCATAGCAGGGGTCCATAATAGAGGGAGTCATTTTCATACATTTCTCTGTAGTTTTGGCCAGGGATGTAGCTTCTGTCCATAATAAGCTATAGCGTCGGCAATATAACAGGATGCCCAGGAGGCATCAGAGATGACTGTATATAAACAGGAAACATTTAAGTATCCCCTCAAAAATATAGCACACCATTATCACAGAAATGTGGCTATATATAGATCTGATGCAGTCTCATTTGACAAGTGATGTCAAACAGATATTGTTCACATGTATGCGCGAAAAAGGAAATAAAAGATGATCAATGTAGTAAAGAATATATATAGACTTAGTACTGATTTGCTGAAATTTCAAACGAAATAACTTAGTGTACTCACAATGTCTTCTAGAAGTAAAAAACAGCGAGATGAAAATTAAAAATTTGTAACAGAATTACCGGAATGAAGTGTAGTATTCTACAGGAATATAGTTCCAATAAGAATGGCAATGTTATCATATCTATGGTAAAATATTGCAAAATGATAAATATCATGCAAGGTTTCGGTCTTATCTTTGTTGTGTGTCACACAAAATATGTGCAAAAGGAGCTGGCACCAGTTGGCCGTGGTCATCAGCTTTCTTTCAGCTCTATGGAAACGCTCGAAAGCTCTGCAGCTTTGCCAAAGATGACGGGGTGGCGAATAGTTAAGTACTTAAAAAAAAGTGGGACTTGAAAACTTTTGATCCGACCTCGAAATCTTGGAATCCTTTGTGATGAGTCACGAAGTCTCCATTTAGCCATTTTCTTCGTGCTGCTTGAAGAGGCTTTTAGCCTCGTGTTGCGTTTCTCGGGCGGAATGTTTTGCGTGACATAAGAGTGTCACGCAAAAAGATAAGGATCATAATAAAGAACTTTTCCCGTGTCGTCTGTGACTGCGTATTTTGAAGAATAAAGATGATCCACTGCGCATTTTCTGGAAGCGTTCAATTTTGATTGAGACATGCACAGGCATATGCAGCATGTAAATTTTCCCGGGAACGACGATATTTTCCGCGGACTTCTTCTGGCGATATTTCATAATTCTGCGCCGTTTCTTTTCCGAATAAATCTTCCGGGGGCTATTAAATTACGATCAGACTTGTTAACTTTGTTTTTATTTAGTCTAGCTCTATTTCTAACGTAATTTAATGATTGGTTAACCAGAACAGTTGACCAGAAATATGATCGGGTCCATTTCATAAAACAAACAGTTACGCATCAGAAAGCTGGGGCTAATTTATCTGTACCTTGTCATCAAGCGATCAGTTTTGCGGTGTAGTCATTGAAAAGTTTCCCATTTCTGTGAGGAAATGGTAATTTTATTTTCATACAGAAGATAATTTTGCAGTTAGAACACTGGCTAAGCTCGAGAATCATGCCTAGAAGCACAAATGTTCAGCGAACACTTTCCGCCATGTTTGTTGAGTTTGTTCTGTTGCATTTGGCTGTGGTGCGAAGAAATCAGAAGTGAAGAAGGCATTGTTTTCCATCAACATCAAGTAATCAAGAATGTCTAAAAAACCAAACCGACGCTCCATCTTTGGTAAGGGTCGGTGACTTTTGTTGTAATCTGCTTTGGTGGGGAAATGTCTACGAACCTTTAGATTTTCGTGTCGGCCACATACAATATTCGTGTTTTTGAAACAGCGTTGTTTCATATTAATCTTACGGATATCGTGTATCGTTCTATATCGTAATTATTTAATAATGAGACTGTTATTTGCTACATTATTTATCAAGTATCCGACAAGTACTTTAATCATGGCAGCGTAGATAAACTTATATTTAATTCCGTTTAATGATTTGAAGTTAAGAATAATTTCGCAGACATCTTTATCCATTGGTACCAGTAGTGCTCTCTAAGGTAAAACCGTTAATATAATTAGAACTTATTTTAGGTATAAATCTGTGATATTCCCTTGCCCAATTCTATTTTTAAAAGCAGACTCCAATGACCATGGGGAACTGCTTTGGTTTAGGGTTTGAGCTTACAATTTCTGATCTCACTCATTGAGATCAGGCTTCCCATGATAGACGTAAGGAAGGAAGGTGTTAATTAGAAATAGTTTCTAAATTGCTCGCAAGATTATGTAAGCACCCTACATCCATTTCACACCTTCAAAATGATCAATTCACACCAAAACAGTTCAGAACTCATACCCCTGGACACTGACCATACCTATAAAGCTAATTTGTTTAAATGCACATGATATTTTAATTTAGGGAGTTAACTCACCTCCTAGGAGCAGTGTGTATTCCTACTATTTCCCTATCTTTGCAGGAAACTAACAATTATTTATTTGTGTTTTTCCTGAAATTTGTTTGCAAGTTGACAGAATTAGTTCTTAATAAGCAAACAGATGTCAGAACTAGCAAGAAGTAACTTAATTCTGATCACTAATGTCAGCCTCCCTTTCCCATTAGCAACAGTTAAAGAAGAACCTAAAATAAACGCCATTGAAATAGCTGCTCTTTTACAAGAAAAGTATGCCTTCTTATCTGGTGAGTACAATGTTTGACTTGGTTTTATTGTGATGGAGTGATAAATTATGAATTGCAATATTTGAATAACAGAACTTTCAGCTACATGTCCACATATAGCACTTAAAATTAAGGTGGTCTGAAATTGAATTTTATAGTGACAGTTGTGTGATTGCATGCATTGCAGTTACCAAATGATGACTTTCAACCTGAGATGTAAAATATTGTTATCCCAGATGCCAAATATGAAATTTCAGGACATCTTTTTTCATTGAAAACATATTTTATTTATCACTTTGAATGTTCAATTCCCCTTGCTATAATATTCATCCTGGGCTAAAATTTCATGTTCATCACCTGTGTATTCCGATTGAAAATTTCAGTCCAGTTTCTCCAAGTGGACTGGAATTTTCACTCTGAGCTGAATTTGCTGAATTTCAGTCCAGACTAAAACCTTCTCCATGTACATAATCGCCAAGTTCATTTCAAGAGAATTGGTTTCCGAAGCCTTCACACAAGGATGATATTCCTTATTCCTTAATATAAATTGTTCGGATTTTATACAAAATCTGAAAATATTGTTTTATTGCTTCTTTGAATTTGAAATGTATTGTTAATTTTAGAAATTTTAGGCCTTTAATTTTACATGTACCTAGGAAATCATGATATATCAAATATGTAATGGAAATATGTCAGGTGATGAAACTATGCAGTAATTTCTGTAATTTCAAATGGAAGTGAGAGTATTTATCAAAGTTTGCAGAATTTTATAGGTATTTTAGTATCAAAAGATAAAAAATTCAATAAGTGAAATACAGTTGGTAAGTAATTATTTTATGTACACACAATAGTTGTCTTCCATACGTCTCTTCCAGATGGGGTGAAAGAAATGATCACTCTTCGCTGATGTATTAATTTGTGACTTTGTTTCTGCTTGCCACATGAGACTGCCAGCAGCGAATGGAGTGTATTTTTCATTAATTTTTATGCCAATGAGCTAACTTGCCATTTTGTTTAAACAATCACTATGGTAACCATGACTCGTGTGATGACAGACTTTGGCTTATATTCCAATATACAAATTTAATAATTTGAATGGCCTCTCCTGTTCAAATAACGATATGATAATATTTTCACCAGCCAAAAAATGGGCTTTAACATTATCAAGAACTCTCTCATCTACACATAGAGGCATGTTCAATCAGCTCGTCACACAATTTTCATTTGAAATAGTTTGTGATCAGCTGCCTCTCTCGCTTATCCTCTTTGCCGCAGCCAGTGAGGCATTAAGTGTAGCAAAGTGTAGTTCTTTGAAGACCTGCAATCCTGGCCAAAAGTCCTTGGTACACTTGACAAAATGACAACTGGTGATGTATTATTTCGAAGTGGGAAGTCATTATCTAATTTGCTGAACTCCCCTCCCCCCGAAAACAATGTTGAAATAGTGGGCCTACTTTGGACAAATCGACCTCAACATTGTGTTAGGGGTGGGGAGGGAGAGGTGCACAGAAAGGCAATATGTCGACAAAAGTGCGAAGTGTCCCAAGACTTTTGACCAGGATTATAGCTAGCTCTTATGCCACTCTGACTTCTTGTGGTATCCATCTTTGAATACAAGTAGTTATAAATTTGGCAATTAAGCTAGTTGATAATTTTTAATACATTGCTCCCTGATTAATTATTCTGTAATTTATTTGATACTCGTAGGAGCACAAGCTAAGAATGGATGCCTGTTTGTCACAATACCTGATCATCCCAAGTTTGGAAGTCTTAGTGACAGAGATGCTGAAAGAGTCTTTAAATATCTTGTTGGACTGGCCAGGTGTGAAGTTTAGTGGATTGTTTCTAGTTTAGTACATTGCAGTGCAGGAATCTGTCCATCAAACTCCTATCAAAGGTTGATGTATCCAGTTGCATAGCATTTAGAGAACTTTCAGGACTGTATAAGAGTTCCCACAGTTTGGTCCTCATTCCAATAATTATTGTTGCACAACCAAAATGCAGGAAAACTTGCTACAGTATACAAGCCACAGAAGTTGATAAAATACTGCTTGGAATGAAACTGTGAAAAGCTGGACAATTTGTAACATACATTTAATGTTGATTTATGAATGGTGATGGATAAGAACCTTATGATTACATCATTCAAGATACTTAATTCAAGTTATGACAACTTTTGCCTAGTAATCAAACTGGCTGATACATGCTCTTTCTATCAATCATTAGTAGAATTCTACTAGTATACTAATGCAAATGCTGTAGTCTGATTGGCTGAGCCATTGAATACTATCAGCCATTAGTGTGCAGTGGCTGGAGGTCATCTAGGAAAGGGCGATGTTTTTTGAATAATTAAATTCCTGAGAAGTCTAAATGAAGGACATTTATGGTTTCTTGACTTTTAAAAAGGTTGAAATTATTGAAAAAACTGATGCGCATGCGCACACAACTTCAATTTTAAATGACAATTCAATTCGAGCGATCTCTTTCAGCCGCAAAAATTAATAATACCTCAAGAAATAATTGAAAATCGTTATTTGAGGTAAATTTTAGTAAGAATCCTACTAAAACAATTAGATTGTTTGCTCTTGATTTCTATGAGGTGATAGTTGATTCGGCCTGCGGCCTCATCATCTATCGCCTTATAGAAATCTTGAGCTCATAATGTAATTGTTAAACAGAGGGCCCTAATTTGAACATGTGCACATTTTTTAGTCTGAAATTGTTATTTAGAATAAACAAACCAACAAAACATCAGTGATTAAATTCAGTTTTAATCTTTTTTCTGTCAGTGGTTGATTCCAGAACAGCGACTTGGTTAGGCTCAAATGACAAATTAAACTGTTTGTTTCAGAGTTCAACTTTGATAGTTGACTTCAGTTGGTGCTATTGCAATGCTAACTGTCATGCCATCAATAGAAACCTCATGCTCACAGTCTATACTTTAGGTCATGTACGTACATTGTGTAACTGACTTCTTGATAAAATTTTTCAACTTAAACTTTTTAGTGAGGAGATGCTCAAGAAAGGATTTATCTTAGTACTTGACAGGAGGAAGGACAAATGGGGAGCAGTAAAATCTTGTCTTCAAAAAATACAGGTCTGCAATAATAGTAACGCTTAATTTAAATAGCAACAAAATCCTAGCTCAAGTCCAGTGGCACTTGACAAAACTTAAGAAGAAAAATTTACAATTATACCATCCCAAGAAAATAACTAGGATAAGATAAAAGAACAAAAAGATAAAAGTTTGTACAATGTATTATGTGTATTGCCACATGTGTTTTTGAATCAGGGTTTGGTCAGGTATATTGTAATTCTGAACAGCTTCGATATTTTCGAATTGGCACAGACATATGTATATATTGTATACTTGTAATCCATCTAATGTTTTTGCTCATGCGCAATTTGTCTAAATGCATTACGTGACTGAATATCCCCCAGCTAAAACTTGGGAATGTCCTAGTGATATTCCTCAAGTTTCAAATTCACACATGTTGCAAAAAATTTATGAAGGATAATAAACACAATATCTTCCATTTGGCGTGACAATATGTTCGGATACTTGTCCTTGCACATTATCTGTTTCTCAGAGCTCACAGTTTTCCTTGAGCTTTGCTCTCGTAATTAAACTGCTCGCTTCTCTGAACAGATAATGTCTGCAGACAAATATCTGACCATATTTTTGTGCCAAATGGAGGCTATTGTTTATATATACACCACATGATTTAAAATATTTAATGTTTGCAATTTTTTTGTTTGAATTGCCTCACTTATTATTATACAAGGACTCTTTTGTGTTTACAGAAATGCTTTCCAAATAAAGTGTGCATACATACCATTTATGTATTAAAGCCACAAGGATTTTTCCAGAAACTTGGTTCTAAACCCAGCTTTGTGGCTGATGGTCTGCTTGGCGACTCAAAAATACAGGTAAGGTCACACCCTCTGTAAGTTGAGATTATGGCTTCAAAAGCAGTGAAACCATGTTCTTAACAGTAAAGTCTTGCTTACTCACTTGCTTGTTTGCTGGCTTACTTACTGACATTAGATTTCTTTCGTACAAAAATCAGTTGAAGCTGGGTAGAACACATTTTGTACACATGTGGGAAAACATGATTGAAAATCCATTATTATGTTTAATGGCTGGTGCAATTTAAGTACTTTCTATGTCCAATGGTTCAAGAGATCTGTGTTCAAGACCCTGGCCATGGGCAATGTTGTAATATTTGATACTTAAAAGTACTCAGAGAACATCCCTATAAAATAGTAATAATATTTATTTAATATGTTATAAATCAGCATCAGCAATTTTATAATGCAAACCTTGCAGGTGTTTGGGAGGTACATGTGTGGTATAGTACAGTGTGTCAGTACAATTTATTCAGCATTCAGAGAATTAGGAAGCAAGTCTTGATATTAGCTGCATGTGCCATACATGGAGGCATCTGATGTCTACACTCGGGTGATCCCTAAGTTGGGATGGAGTGGACTGACATTATTTGATGTTATCATATTAAAAAGAAAATTATTGGCCTCTTCAGAGACAGATAGCAATTATGGCCTTTTGTCTTTTCAGGAGGGTAAAACAACCTTTTTATAATTGAAGGCTTTCGTGCAAAAAGGGCGTATATGGCATTTTAGGCTGATTTTTATTTTTTGCAGGATCGAGCTAATTTTTGGCAGACTGACTTGTTTTGACATGAAAAGCATCATTGTGTAATTGTTTTTGTTGATTTGCGCTTCATTTTCGAGAAATAAAGTATGCAAAAAAACTCAGTTTCAACAAAAACAATTACACAACGATGCTTTTCATGTCAAAACAAGTCAGTCTACCAAAAATTAGCTTGATCCTGCAAAAAATAAAAATCGACCCAAAATGCTATATACGCCCTTGTTGCACGAAAGCCTTCAATTATTTAATAGATTATTGAAGGTAACTGCATATATGTTCATAGAATATTCAAGTTGTTTGAATTTTTTCCTCCATTGCTGTTGTAGATTGTCTCTCTCAATACTGCCACTGAGTTAGAGGAGTACATTGATAGTTCACAGCTGTCAGAAGAACTGGGAGGAAGTCTGCAATATAAACATGCACAGTGGGTTCAATACAGAACAGTGAGTATGAGAAATTTGGTGCTTTATGTTATATTTTGTATTTTTTATCAATCCACTTGACAACATGAACAATATTGTTAACAAAACAAGTGCAGTGAAAAGGGCAAAATATAGTAAACTAATTAATATCCTTTAATTTTAAAAAATACATTTATTTTAGGATAAAAGAAAATAAGTATAAGAGAGGAAAGAGTAAACACATAGTAAATAGATATAATATGCTAAAATTATTTATACTTAGCAAAGTAAAACTGGTGTGCTTTTTTAAATTGTTTTCTAGTTTATTACGTGTACACAAAATAATGTCATTCCAATTATAATAGCATCCAATTATAATTGAGCAAAATGTTCTTACATTTATTCTAAAGGATTTTGGATTCAGGTTTTGTAAGGATGCACTTTGAGCAGCGTAATTACGTTGCTCAGATACTAGACACAGGATGAGATTCAAAGACTTTTTATCAATTAGGTGCATGATCATAAAATAGTTGGCTGGTATATAATTAACAGTGTCAGGAAGCTTAATGAGGCCAAAGTTTACACAATAAGGAGTAATATGATCACCAAGTGGCACATTGTGGCACAGAGTGTTTCAATTTAGGGTTATGGTGGCCTCCTGGTTAGTGGTCTTGACTCCAGATCAAGCAGTCTGTCTGGCAATAGCTGTCACGTACTGATTAAGGGTAACAATTAAAGAATAATTATAAGCTAAATTTAGGCATTGAAATACAATAGGGTTCAGCGAGTCAAGAATATACATGTAAATGTAGCATTATTGTTACGGTAATTAAATTCCATGGAATGTATAAGCCACTGATGTAAGAGCTTTATGAGCTTTATCAGAACAGAACAGACATTGAGAGTGTAACATTGTAAGAGAGATAGGAAGAGAAATTTTGAACCAGCAGACTTACCAACATACTTCCCATGAGAAGAGGGAAGGGTGGTTTGGGAGAAAAGCTTTTCGAGAATAGTCTGGCAGCAAAAAATGTGCAGAGTGAATTGACATCTGACGCAGAGCTGTGAACTACAAGGAATCCCTGCGCAAACACCCTGGTCACCCCTCACACCAACAAATTGGGAGACTGCTGGAGAGCAACATTGTCTTGTGTTTAATGTAGCCCAAATTACATGTAATTTAATTTTAGTGTTGGAATGCAACTGGGACCATGACTAATTGTCCCTCCATGTGAGATGTACACCTACAGAAGGAGTTGTGGCATTTATTACTTTACTCAAAAATGTTACTAACAACTAACTTAATTAATTTATTTTCAGGCAATTGAAAGGTTTGAACGGAACTTAACAACCTTTGATGAGAGGACTGCAGAGCTGCGGCAGACTTTTTTGCGGACCAAACTGTCTTCGGTTGTACAGGAAATGGAACAGATTATAGAAACACAAGAAGAAATGTGGCATGATGTCAAAGAAGACATGGAAAGTGCAAGACAAGCGGGAGTTACTCTGTTGGACTGTATTCATCCTAAGCAGAGAGATGTCCATGAAGAGTGGTATACTCCTGACATCAAGGCAAATGCTGCAGAATTGAAACAAGTATTGATTCAACTTGAGGACATGAAGAACAAATTTGACAGGTTCTGGAAAGAACACAAGTCAAAGATTCAGTACGGCTTGAAAGTGTGTCTGTTTGAAAGGGAAATGAGCCAGGTTTGTGCATTTTTCATTATCACTATTTTGCATTTACATGATTTGTCCAATTTTTCTCAGACTCCAGATCCAGTGATCCAGGAAGTTCATGTACTAGCCAAGCTTATTGTGTTGTGTTCTTGGGCAAGACACTTAACTCTCACATTACCTCTCTTCACCCATGTGGACCTATGGCCTGATTGTATCGTGTGACACTTAACACTACTTGTAAGGCAGAATAATCTTACTATACTTAATTAAACATTCAATATAATTTGCATTGCAGCTACTTTCAATAAGCAAACTCTGACATAAAGAACTCATCTAGCAATGATAATACCGCATTTCATGTTATTGGTGATTATACGACAACAGCTCACAGACCCCCTCAAAAAAGTGGCTCAAAATTTAGCCAATTGAAATTCAAGGATACAACCATTTCAATGAATTAGCTGAAAAAATTCTTTAACACAGTTTTCATTTTAAACCATTTCTCATTTCCTAGTATATGGGGATAATTTGAAAATGATGATGATGACATTTAGCTCTAACAACAATTCTACAATGGTTTTAAGTTGACTTTATGAGAATTGTCTTGCCACACTGATGCCTGTTATTCCTCCTTTTGAATCTTTCAGACAACAGGCCTGCTTCTCTCAGCTTTAGGCAACCTATCTGCTCTGACAGATCTCGGAGACTCTAAAGATGATGCAGAATCACTATTAGAGCAACTTAAAGAATTTACAAATAAGAGTATGGTGAGTGGAAAGGTCCTGGAACTCTTGTTAAAAAGAAAAGTTGTTTATTATTATTAATTAAAACTACTTCTCTTTTTAACTATAACATATCTGATCTTCCCTCAGCTTAAACACTTTTCAAAAGGTTCCATGTGGTTACTATTATTATTTAGTGCTAGCCAAATCAAAATCCTTTTATTCACAGACTTTGTTCACAGAACACAACAGTGTAAAAGAGAGGAGGAGATACGTTAAGTTACAGATTTGTCAATCAATTTAATCTGACAGTTGATTTTAAGAAATATTAAGTTTCTTGACAGAGACTGATGAGAACTATAGGTTACCACTGGAATGCATTTTGTTATAATTTAAAGTTTTTACACTAACTGTGCATTGTTATTGCTTGGAATAATTAGCTTTTATATTGGTCAACTTTTCCTTGTATGGTGAACTCATATCATAAGTAAAGTCCTGAGCGTGACATTAATTTGCAAGGCTCATCATATAGACTGGGTCTGACATACCATGGATCTATTGTAGATAAGTGCCTGTCTTTTCCCTTCACAGTCATTAATTAAATAAATATTTCTTTCATTGATATTATTTATTCTTTTTCTAAAATTTTTAAATCCACAGGAACTTCTTGACAAAGCCAAAGGTTTAGTTGCCAAGGGACTGAAAATGATAGACTCAAATGAACAAGCAAAGGATTCCATCAAGATGAAATGTGACGAAATAAGGGAGCTCTGTGACAAGTTTGACAAGGTGGCACAAAAGAGAGAAGATGATTTAAAGAAAGCAATGGATATACACGAGTGTCTGGAAATGGTAAGTCATTGTTATTTGATTTAGCTTCTGATCAGGTCTATTTAAGATATTGCAGTTAAGCATATACTCTTTACCGCTTGATACTGTAGGAGTTACCAAAGAGGAAATATAACTGCGAGTTGTAAATTGGCATCTGTGTTTTCTGAAACAGTTATTTTCATGTTATTTTTCTGTAGGTCAACAAGTGGTGCAAGACAGGTGTAGATCTTTTAGCATTACAGCCCATAGACAGATTTCAGTCATCGGAAGGTGCTGAGAAAGCACTGGATGAAATTGATAACTTCCTGAAGAGTCCACAAGGGATGAACATGGTAAAGGTTCGGAAAATGATGCCCACAAGTACTGCTCTTGGTAATAAAACACTGATCAGCAAGGTCAAAGACAGCATGAAGAGAATCAGTGAGGTCAATGATATGATGGCCAAGCGTGAAACCAGGTTAGTAAATTGTGTGTTATAAAATATCATATGATATTTTATTTTTGAGAAGATATTTCATCTAGTGCCCCACACACACAGTGCTTAAACTTGGGTTGCTCAGATAGGGTACTTATTCGAGACAGGATACGTATTAATAAATGTTATTTTCATTTTGTCATCTCTGAAGTGCCTAAACTACAAAGCATGAAATTGGTTATTATAAATAAAAAAATATTCATGGATTCAGTTTGCTGTAAATTATTGATCAATTTCAAATCAATTTCAAACTAAAACTAAAACAAACTCAATACAGGGCTTATGCAGTGGAATAAGGGCGCTTATTTCGAAATGACAACCCAGGCATTTTATTTGGGGGAGGGGGAGCTTTTAGGAAGAAGGGCAAAACACTGCTGTGATGATATTACTTACAGTGCATGTAAACTCTAACATTTGGAGTAATCTAGAGAGAATCTTGATCTCTATTCTTCTATGAGATGATATTATTATGTATTACATGATATAAGTAAATGATTGTATCCAAAATGTAAAATTTTAGATGAGGCTTGGGAACTCATAAAAGTGCTAAATAAATGTGTCTCTTTCTGCATTTGTTAGCCTGAAGAAACTTGTTGTGAAGCGTCCAGTACAGCCTGTATCAGCAATACCTGCTAATCAGGCTTCCAATCCCGAAGATCAAAAAGATTCCAAACGTAAACCAAGTACTACTCTCAAGAGCCCAGGTCAGTGTGCCTGGTACAAAATATAATTTTCAAAATTGTGAATAGACCAATTTCGTTAGGTAGGTAGGTAGGTA